CGAATGATGCGAGCCACCGAACCACCAAGCCAAACCACCGAGACTCCAATTGTAATTGCAATTGCAATTGCAATCGCAAATCAGTTGCCGCCGCAGTTGCAGTCCCATGGGAGCAGCGCCTGATGTGAGCAAAAACAATTGCAAAGTGGACCCGAAACTGCCAGATGTCAGCGAGTCGACGGTTGACGAGTAATTAGTTCACCAATGTCAGGCCAAATAGGCTTTTAGTCTAATGAGAGACACTGGCAATGCCCAGCGATCGGTTAGCAATGAGAGCAAAGTGGCCAGTGGCGAATGGAGAGTAGCGAGTGGCAAAAGAAACAGCTGACTAAGCATAGCAAGTGGCGAAAACTATGTGACGAGTGGGTCTGTGACGAACAGCACGGACGGGAGAACAAGCAGACTAAACGAAGTTTTAACGAGTGCAGGCTAAGCGGATAAAGCAAAGTAAGCAACTTAGTGACAAATAAGCGAATGACGAGTGATGCACGGCTAGTAAGCTAATTAGATAGTGATGAAAAAATGAGCAGATTTGGCAGATATAGGCATAGGGAAATAACAAGCAACGAGCAGCGAGTGATGAGAGCATGACTAGACTAAGAGGAGCTAGTCCATAAGCGGCGAGTAGCGAGTGATGAGAGTGAAAGCTGACTAACTGATCGGGGCATAGCGAAATAATAAGCAGCGAGTAACAAGTGGCGAGTGTTGAGTGATAGAAGGGTAGAAAGGCTAATCGGACTAAGCGTAGCGAATCCATAAGCGACGAGTAGCAAGTGGCGAGTGATGTGAGAGAAAGTAAATTTAATAGATCGAGGAATAGTGAATTAATAAGCAACGAGTAGCAAGTAGTGAGAGGGACTAATCGGACTAAGCGTAGCGAAATCATAAGCGACGAGTAGCGAGTGTTTGATGACTAAGCGGACGAAGCGAAGCGAGTCTATAAGCCACGAGTAGCGAGTGGCAAGCGTTAAAGGGCTATGAAAACTAACGAATAGTTCGTAGTGAGGCGATATTAAACAGACGAAAGAAGTCAATTAGCAAAATGTGTTGAGAGTAACGAGAGTGTGGGTAACGCATGCGATTGGTTGTGTGCGAGTGCCACGCCCAACGGCGGATCAAAGGATCAATCAAATGTGAATATTATGAAAAAGCTATGAAAATTCCAATTTGCATTGGCGCAAAATGTCTGAAGCAATGGAAACACCCGCGGCCCGCCTCAAGTGTGCCAAATGCGATAAAACTTTTTAAATGCATTTCAAGTGGATGCCGAACATCAAACAAAACAACAGAACAGACCGAACAGCCCGAACAGACCGAACAACAACAACAACAACAACGAGTAAGGGGAACGAGAACGAGAAAAAAGGCAGCGAGTAGCGAAAAGGACGAGGCAAAAGGCTTTTAGACCACAGTCCTATGAAGTGGGCGCTCTGCTCTCTGAATCTGCATGCATATATGTATTATAAATAGTCACATACTGCGCGAGACACACACACACACACACACACACAAACATACACATAGGTAGACAGAGGGGAATTTAGTTGAGGGGGTTGGGGCGCGTCCAAGTGGCATTTGTGATTTATGCGACGTCTCTTTGAGGCTGAAGTGCAGATTACATTATAAATATGAAATAATACGAGTCGGCGCACAGGTCCTTGAGGACATACGAAACGGAAATTGAAATTCGTGATCAAAAAAAAAAACAACAAAACACACACACACACACACACACACACAAATGAAAACAATATGGAATGGGATTAGAAGAAAGTTGGCAAAAACAAATAAGTTGCAGCTGATTGCCCAAGTTATGTGAACTTCAGCGAACAGCTTTAAAGAAAATGTTCACAATGGAAAACTTTGAATTACATTTTATGGTAATTTCTAGCGATAATTATAAGTAGTTCCGATGTTCTACCATGGTCGTATTTTCCGATAACATAAGATATCGATCGGAAAGGGAGCGACACTTGAGATCGGGAGTATGAAGAGACAGGACGGAGTTAAAAATTGTTAGGAAAGTATAAAAGAGTCACATTGTGGCTTTGAAGTAGAATAAAATCTTGAAAAAATAAAGTATATTTAAAAAATATAGATTTAACAGAAAATACTGTACAAAATACTATATGCAAAAATATGCAAATAATAAATGGCTAAAGAAAGTAAATACTATAAAGTCGAACTCCGATTTAAGAGCTGTGTTGGTAAACGTATTTCTTATCGAGATAAGTGTCAGTAAAGAAAGAAGAGCCAACATATTGAATCCCCTGCCCCTCCCTCATCGGCAAGCTCCTGTCATGAGGCTCAGTTCAATTCCTGCACCTGGTCTTACACAGCTATAAACCATCTTGGCTCAAAGTTTGGCTAGATGATTTAATGCAGATCAGATTTAAGCAGATATTTCTAATATGTTTCAAAATTTTCCTGGATGAATTTAATATAATTTTCTAAATGCCAATTCTACTGAAATATTTTCATATGGAAATTACGGGCTACATTTGAGCTCCACCCAAAATTGGCATCTATTAAATATGTTTAGATAAATGCATTGTATCCAAAACTTCGGCACCCCGAAGATTTAATACCCTTACTTATATCTATATATATATATATATATGTATATATTATATATACTAATAAATGACATAAATAAAAGTCATATCAACCGGAGAAAGGTAATATACAGATTTGTAGATACTTATATATATATTGTAAATAAATATTGAATGTTCAATTACAAAACTAAATGACAGCAATAAAAACGACAATAGCAGAAAAAATGTGATTTATTAATGCAACCGCAAAGTGAAAAAAAAAAACGTATATAAATATTTAAAACGAACAAAATGAATAAAATGAAAAATGCATTGGGACGACGTGGCGTATGATTAATGCAATTAATGCGATTGGAAATGCAAGCGGTTAACTCTTCGCACAGAGAAAGAGAGGGTGATAGACTGAGAGGGAGGAGCGAAAAAGCAAAAGAGAGCTGGAGAGCGAGAGAGAGAGAGAGAGAGAGTGTGCTAATTAAACGCTGCTTTGGGCTCCAAAAAAACGCCAATTGTGACAACGATCGTAGGCTGGCAGGGAGGGGGGGGGGCTAAAGCATAACTGCAAGCCAAGCAGCTTAATGAAATGGCATATTGATTATGCAATTGTTATGCAATGCGACTAATTAATCACAACTGCAGCAAGGGAGGCAGGGGACAGGCGGCGCTCGGCTAATCGATATTGCAAGCGGAAGCTGCTTAATTAACACGGCCAACTTTCGACAACAATGCGTGCAATTTGGAGCACAGGCGCCACTGTGTCGTGGGTTGGTAGGCAGGTGTGGCAAGGGGAAAGGGGAGCAGGGGGAGTGCCGGTGGAAACTGGAAAGGCAATTTAGGGGCCAGTGACAAGCGAAGGCAGCTTTTGGAAACGGAAGGAATCAATATGTAAAATGCCTGAATGAATGCACAGCGAGAAAGTGGAGCCAAGAAATGAAAACCAAATCAAAGTTAAACCATATATTTGCCATATAAAGTAAAATCAAACAAGAAGAAGAGCAAAGGTTTATGGAAGTATCGGGCAAAGCTTCAATATAATATTATAATTATACTTCTCATGATGATAATAATATAGGGTCGCACAATACAAATAAGTCACTTAAATTAATTTAATAATAAAAACAATAATGATAATGACAATGATAATAATAATAATAAAAATAAATAAATAATCTTTAATATTATTAATAATATTAATAATAATAATAATAATAATAATAGAAAAGCCAATAACAATAATAATGATAATGATGTTGATAATAATAATGGTAATGGTAATGAAAATTAGGATAAAATAGTAATAATAAAAATATTAATAATGTTAGTAATAATAATTCGTATTATAATTTCCAACTGGATTTCAATATGCATTTCTGAGACATTTCTCATTTCATATCTTTGAAAGCCTACATATTTATGAAGAGTTTTCTATACTAAATTAATTAATTTTCGCTCAGTCGATGACTGAAATCTTAAACATAAGAATTATGTTTGCTCAATATTCGGATTCTCGGGTTCGCACTCTCTTTGAATAGATATTGTGACACTTTCTCGCACACTTTTTGACCTGGCCTAGAAACCTGCTTAGGGATCGTTTGATCAATTGATCAGTCGATCAGTCGATCAATTGATCGGGCGAGCTTGGCATATTTCGCTGGTAAACAAAGTGTGCGCAATTCGATAGGCGGCAGTTATCGAATTGCGTAAACAATCGAATTTGCGAATAGTTTAAACAATTTGCGCACAGTGGCTGCCAACAAATGGCGCACAAGTGACCGTATTGCATGTCGGCCAATATTATAAACAAAAACAAAAATTGCGAAAAAAAAAAAGTGAAATAGAAATAAAATCACGTAAATCAGAGTCGCACACACACGCTCACACACGCTCACACACACACACCCATGCATATACACGCACGCATACAGGTCGCTGCAGTGTGGCCCGCCAAATTGGCGGCGCAAAACAAACTGAAATCGCGGCCGCTGCGCGCCCAGCAAAGGCCACAATTAACACACACGTGCACGCACACAGGCTCACAATTCGACTCACACGTACAGTGTGCACAGTGTACGTGTGCCGCCTTCCAGGCGAGAGTGCAACAGCATGCGGCGCGGTGCATGAGTGCGTGCGGGATAGCAGGCACTTGTATGGCACGCATTACCCCTGCAATTGGAAAGGCAGCATAGCGCTGCGCAGGCGAGAGCGAGATGGCTAGCGCAGTGGCTAAGCTGCCATCTCGCTGCCACGCAAAGATGGCGTAGCGAACGACAGCAGCAGCAGCAGCAGCGGCAGCAGCAGCAGCAGCAGCGACAGTGGCAGCCAGCAGCCAGCAGCCAGCGGCAGATCTCAGTCGACATTCGGCAAGCGGCGAAGCAGTTGAAGCGCTACCCCGGCGACGGCAAAATCAAGTACGCAAGGCGTGTGTGTGCGCATTATACAGAGGCAACGTGCGTTGGCGTCGCAGCTGGCGCCGGCAGCGACAGCGACAGCGACGTTGACGTTGACGTGACGCTTTTGCTCGCGTGCAGCGCGCGCTTTGGTTTCAGTTCGTTTTCGTACGTTGTCCACGCCGAACGCAAACGGTCAGCGCCCACACAAGCAGAACAAGACACAGTCAGACGACGTCCAGTTGAGCACACGCACGCACACACACACGTGTACTGGCATTAGCATTGCCTGAGCAAAGCTCTCTGCTGGCGTAACGCATTCTTGTTTGTTGTGTTGTCGTGTCTTGTGCTTCAAAAAAAAAAAACAGTTAAAAACCTAACACACACACACACGCACGCACACGATTTTCGAATTCGAATCGAATTGGATTAGCAGAGGTGAAACATTTTGGACTTGATCGAATATTGTTTATATTGTGTGTTTGTGTGTGCTTTTTTTTTGCTGTGTGTGCCGCACATGTGCGACAGTGTGTGTGTGTTTGCATGTACGCGCTTATGTGTGTGCTGCTTTTTTTTTGTGTTCCTCTTTACGTGTGAGCTATGATAACCGTTAGCTGAACAAGTGCAATAAACCGTTATAAAAGGCAAACTCTGCACGCTTCGAACGCTTCCTCTTACCGACGGCAAAATGCAAGCAACCAAAATGCGAACACCCTTTGCCATACAGGAGATCCTCGGCCTCGGCGTCGGCGTCGGTGCCTATCAACAGCAGCAGCAGCAGCAGCAGCAACAACAACAACAACAGCAGCAGCAACAATCGTCGCAGGCAGCTGCCGCTGCCACGCCCAGCGCCAACGAGGCGCCACTTTCACCGGCCGCCACGCCCCCGCCGCGCAACGCCAACACGCCGCAACAGTCGGCGGTAAGCAGCAGCGCCCAAAACGCTGCCCAAGCGCTGGAGCAGCAGCAGACGAGCTCGCGCGACTCGCGCTCCATTTCGCCGGACGTGACACGTTTGTCGGCGGCCGCTGCCGCCGCCGCTGCGGCTGCTGCCGCCCACTGCCAGCTGCCCGTCTTCAATCCGGCGAATTTCTATGCAGCCGCCGGCTATGCCGCTGCCGCCGACCCGGCCAACGCAGCGGCCGCCCATCATCATCATATGACGACGCTGGCGGCGGCCGCCTATTTGCGCGGCTTTCTGCCGCCCGGCTTTAGCACGCCCCACGAGTTCCGCGGCCACTTTCAGCAGCATTTCGGCGCCCAGTTTGCAGGTGAGTAACAAGCGTCTGCGAGACAGTTGCATTTTGCCGTTAGAACGTGTTGAAGTAACGGCTAATTAAATGACGGGCGGCGACAAGGACAAAAGCTGCACAGAAGCTTTGTCTTTGCGGTCGCACAGAGAGGCGACGGGCTTGGGGCGAGAGGCGAGGGGCGAGAGAGTGAACGACAACAAAAACACAACGAAAGCAACCAACTGGCAACTGAACGAATCCGCGAACGGGCCACTCTTTAGGCGCAGCTCTAATAAGCTCAAGTTGAGGCCCGCAGCTCGCTCCGCAAAGGGGTTGCCAGATGCGGCGAAGGCCGCGTTTCTTCGCCTCGCTGGGCAGGCAACAATTAAAACAATAAAACGACAAATTAAACACAAGTCGCTGGTGCGGGCGATAGGTAGGCGGGAGGGGGGGAGGGAGGGACGGAGCTAGTAGGTAGCTATGATTAGGACAAAGGGTGCACAGAAGCTTATTAATAACACACAGACGCACACAACCACACGCACATACATACATAGACAGCATTCAGCGACTGAAGTGTGTGTGAGATTTCACACTTCTCGCGGTGAGCCACTCACTGCGTATATGTGTGTGTGTGCGTGTGTGTGTGTAACGCTAATTAAGCGCATGATTATCGAAGCTCATGCATTGCGTCAATTGCATTCCAATATGAATCCAATATGAATCCTATTTGAATAATCAACTCCAATATTCAATTGTTTGCCAATAAAGCCTGAACGAAAAAAACGGGACAGATGGCGAAGATTTATTATGGAAATGTGTTATAAAAGTAGTTTAAGTAACTCGGATAGGATCTAACTCTTATAGATAAGATAGTGAACGACTTAATTTAGACACTTGGCAAATATATAACAAATTTGTTATACAAGCACTTGACAAATATTTAACAATTACCTTTGGTAACATAATGCGAATTCAGTTTATCATATTCACATATTGAAGCTTATCAAGTGCAGATTAAAAACCAAAAAAACCTATTTGCAGGATTAAAATAAATACTTTAAAGAAAATTGTGAAAAAACTACAATTAGAATAAAGACCTTTCAAATGCCTTAGTTAAAAACTTAATGCGATTGTCTGAATATCATTTAATATCCTTTTGAGAAATATAGCAGATCTATACTTTATTCATAGAAGAAATTTTTGCTCTATTCTATTATTTGTATTATTATCAGAGTGGAATACAGGTTAGAGCAAAAGCTTTTTATATAGTTTGCTGATATATATGAACTATAGTTATAGTATATTTTATAATATTTCTCCACGAAATCAAAAAAAAAAAATTCATTTTCGAAAGATTTCGTTAAAATGAACTCAACAAATGTGAGTTAATGAACATTTTTTTTCATATTTTTTCATTTACGTCTTGAGAGAATCATTAAAGAGAAACGCAATTTCCGAAAGATTTCCTCTATTCGATTTAATCTACCTTAACAGATGTGAGTTAAAGCATCTTTTTCCATTTCCATCATTTTGTCATTTTTCTTTTTCCATTTACTTCTTGACAATTGTTGCAAAGGGATCTTGTTTTGTCGACTTGGATCTCTATATATGCCATAATAGTTATACATCTTACTAAATACTATCTAAAGATATACATTTGAATTATTGGATAAGGTTTCTTTCCTTTACTTCCTTGACATCTGCTCGCTTTTGGGGAGCCTTCACTGTACTCATGTCCTTACAAGAAGTATTTAAATTCGAACTCACAAAATCGATTATAGGAAGCGCAATATAAAACAATTAGCTTTAAAGGCATTACGCTCAAATTCTCTTCGTTTATTTATTGTTTTATTATTGCGTTTTTTTTTTTTTGTAATAAATTACAATTACAATTCACAATTCTTGGCGTCTTTCTCTTAGCCAGTTTCAAAATAAAAGAAAGGCTCTAAACTCCTTCTCTGGCTAACGATTTTGCGGGTAAGTTAGAAGATTTCTGAAGCTCGTGTTTGCGGATTTTCGTGCAGTTATCCTTAAAAATAGAACATTTTTTTATACGAAATCTAATTTTTCGAACATTTAAGTCTCATTTTTCGAAAGAGTTATTCTAGCAGCTAGATATGTATGGAGCATTATGTAGATCACAAGAAACTGGAAAATCAGAAATTATATCCATATAAAACGTTCCCATGTTTCGACCGAGTTCTCCTATAGAGATATAAGATAAATGCCAAGTTGGGTTAGGATATATGGAAAAACAAGAAATTAATTCCATATGATATAGTAGTTCGATCCGTCCGATTTCAATTCTACTGCATTGACATTATCATAAGTAATTAATCAAGTTCTTTTCAAATATATTACTCTCAAAAATAATTATCTAAATATATGTATATACAATGCATATATTTAAAATATTTGATATATTAATATATTTATTAAGCAATGCTCTGACTGTTTTTTTGGGTTTTATTATCCAATATCTCTGTATGATAATATTATAAAATAGTATGTTAAATATGATATAATAATACCCTTACCCTTAATAATATAGATGATTGCATCGACATGGTTTTCTCTTTAATTATAAGGTACTTCGAATTTCTCTAATCGTTTGGTATACTCCCCCCCCCTCTCTCTCTCTCTCTCTCTCTGTCTCTCTCCCATCCTTTCTCGCCATCTCTGATCAGCCCTTAACTTTAATTTGCTCATATTTTTGGTCCTTTCTTCTTCTTCTTTTTATCTAATTTGCTATTCAATTTTATAAAGTTCACCTTTTGGGCCTTGTCGTCTTTGTGGCCCATATCATTTGTTAGTTTATTTGCCTTAGCGGTCACGCCCACACACACACATACACACAACCACACAAAGTTGAACACACATTTATTTGAATTGCTTTTGACCACAGCTACCTATCACACACACACACACACACATACACACACACGTTGACATATTCCGGCACTCGTTTTGCCCCTCTTTTCACGCTTTCGTTCTCTCTCTCTCTCTCTCTCTCTCGCTCTGGGTTTTTCTGCTATCTCTTTCGCTTGCATCCTTAAATGTTTGTGCTGCTGCCCACACACACGGCATACACGCACTTCATTTGTTCAATTTTCACACTTCTTCGCCTTAGCCTTTGTTGTTGTTGTTGTTGCTTTCACTGTTGACCTTTCCGCAGTTTGCTGCAGCGTCTTCTTCTACCGCTGCTGCTGCTGCTGCTGCTGCTGCTACTGCTGCTGCTGCTGCTGCTTTTTGCTGTAGGGCCACATTTAGTCTGTTTGCATAACAAAGTTTTCTATCCGTGTAGTTGTTGTTGTTGCCAACGCTTCGAGCCAAGTTGAGCTGTAAAAAAGGCAACGTCTTGTCCTTTTCTATGGCCCGCACAATGGCCACAGCAGCAGCAGCAGCAGGAGCAGCAGCAGTGGCCGTGGCGCTAGTTGTGTACAAAATAAATCGACTCGAGTGGTTAACCGCAGCGCAGGATCTAAAGAAGCTAGAGCAGCGGCAGGAGCCAGGAGCTGGGAGCTGGGAGTGTCAGATGTAGGAGCAGGAGGTTTGGATGCAGTAGCATATCCTTTTACTGCGAAATTGCTACTTTGCTGCTGCTGCTGCTGCTGGTGGCTCGTCACGTTGTTATCCTTAATTTGAGTGGCCATTGAGCAGCCGGGCAGGACAAAGTCCATGGCCAGCGGCGCAATATGGAGCATACTTTGCAGCTGCTGCTGCTACTTCTTCTTCTTCTTCTGGTCCCTTTTGCTTTTCTTATTTTAATAAATATTTACTTGAAAGTCATGCCACGACCTGCGAGTCCTGCGCGTCCTGCGCGACCTGCGCGACCTGTGTGTGTCCTCTGTGTCTGCTGCGTCAATGTTGTTTTTCTTTTTGCTTCTGCTGCTCAAAGTCACATCGAGAGGCCTCTCGCTGCTGTTTGGGTTCATTTTTTGGGCTCTTCACCTGAGGATCGCTGTCAGCAGCTGGCGGCACTTGTCCCACGCCCATTGTGCCCTGTCTTCTTCTTGTTGTTATTCTTGTTGTTGTTTGTGTAATGGCCGCAACTATTTTTCACACATTTGCGTTGCCCGAGAAGACGACAAACAGCCAACAAAAGGGCAACAGGCCTGGCTAACTGGCCAAGAGACTCGACTTGTTGTTGTTGCTCATTGTTTGGCCTGAGTCATTGGGCATTTTTTATTTATTTTTTTTCTCAGTTAAAGCGTAAGTGGATTTGTCTTAATGGCAAATAATTGCGCCCCAATTGGTTTTTTAATTGGGTTTTCATCATAAATATAGTATATATATACAGTATACATATACACAGTATATATATACATATATGGTTGAGTGGCTTTTTCCAAGTGCCGCACATGCTTTGCTAAATGCGGGCCAGATTTAAGGCTATGCTACAATCGGCGGGCCTCACAGCTATATTCATTCATTCATTCACGCATTTCTGTTCCTAAACTTATCTTTTTTGTCTGTTGGCTGTTTCCTATGCTCAATCATACAAAGCCTGCGCGGCTTACTATCTTAGAGCTGTTCCAAAATGTATCCTTGCAATTTAGATTATCTAAATCTCATTCTATATCCATATCTATGTATATACATATAGTTAAATTGCATAATGCTCAGAAGTTGACATTTCTTTTTTGATTATTTCTCATCTGTTCGTTTTGATCCTTGACCAAACATTAAAATCATTAAGCTGAGCTCTTCATCAATTAATCTTTACAAACATATATGTAGGTATATATACATATATACTGACTCATTTCTAGCATTATGTTTAGCACATAATTAATCCTATAGCCGCATTGTGACAATCCCTTTTATATTACTAATTGACCCATTGGGTGCCTATTAAATATCAATATTTTCTGCCTACTTCTGAACCTTTGCTCTATCGCATTTTTAAAATCAAGTCCCTTCCCCTGCCATTATTCGCTCGCATCTGCCACGCGTGTTGCCGAAAAGAAAAGAATCGCATAAAAATCAATCGCACCAATTTTGCCAACAAAAAAAAAGAACCCAAAAAACACAAA